GCCAGAAAGCCACTGTGCCAAGGTGCCCTTAGCCAAATTGGTTACCCTACCTGGGCCTCCCCATTGGATCTATAAAGTGGGCTCTCTTACAGAACCGAGAAGTGAAAGGAAATGTTCTGTGTATTACAAAGTTCAGTGGAGACACAGGTGATTAAATGTTCATGGCAGGTCTGTTCATAATAGCCCCAAATTGGAAATAACCCAAATGGTAATCAACAATGGAATGGATAAATAAATTGTGGTTAATTCACCTATGGGAGTACAACATAGCAATAAAAAAGAATGGACCACTGCCACTCACTAGAACACCAATGAGCCTCCCAGACATAACGCTGAGTGAAATAAGCCAGACACAAAAGTAAACATACTGCATGATTCAATTTATATGAAGTTCATCCACAGGCAAAACTAGCCTTTGATGGTACAAGTAAGACTGGCAATTACCTGTGGGGGCTATTGATTGGTAGGGGGAACATAACGGCTGTTTCTGGGGTACTAGAAATGTTCCAGATCTTCTTGATCTGGCTCATATATATGTACAAATTTATCCACTTGTGTACTTTATGGTATATGAGTTATACCACCAACTAGAAAATGTAAACGTCTAGATTTATTATTTGGAGCATCTCTGTGTCAGGAGGTAGGAGAGCTTTTTGAAGGGGAATTTTAAAATGGTTTCTCTGCTCCTTCTTTCCTGCTCCCATCCACCCATCAGCCTCTCTCTCTACATAAGAACTTCTTGTTTCTCAACATTTCTTTATTCCACTCTTTTACTCATTCACTGGAACCTCTAATACGGCCCAAGCACTATTCTATAAACTGAGGGCACAACGTATCTCTCAACCCTCGCAAGTGCAATAAACATGTGTTCAACACCTACTATGAGTTGGGTGCTAAGGCCCCTCCTCTACCGGTACTGAGCATTTTCTCTCAAGCAAGTCCAAGTGGCAAAGAACGGGGCATAGAATATCTGGGCTCCTTTCCAGTTTCACCTATGGTTCCAAGAAAGGAGAAGGTACCTACTATGTGCCAGTGTGCATTCAATCCTCTACAACCCAGCTCACACAGATGGAAGGCAGCAGGGGTAGAGTTCAAACCTGGGTATGTCTAATTCCTATGTCCCTGCCCTTCCCACCACTCTTGAGACCTCCCAAGAGCCAGATCAGTTTTGCTCTCTCTCTGGACGTCTGTGGTAGTCCACCTCCAAATGGTCCCAATGATTCTTGCCTCCAAGTATTCGTGTCTTTATATAGGTCCCTCCCACACTCAGTGGGGCTGACTTGGGTAACCAATAGTATATTGGAGAAATAGTATTTGTCTTTCAAGGGTAGGATATAAAGGACATGTGGCTTCCACCTTGTTCTTTCTTGAATCACTCATTCTCAGGAAGCCAACTGCCATGTTGTAAGGACATGAAGCAGCCTGATGGAGAAGTCTGTGTGGCAAGAAACTGAGACGTCCTGCAAAAAGCCAGCCCCAATTTGCTAGCCACATGAAAAAACCACCTTGGAAGCAGATCCTCTAGCCCATCAGGCCTCCAGATGACTACAGCCCCAGCTGACATCTTGACTGCCACCCCATGAGAGACCCGAGGCCAGAACCAGCCAACTAAGCCACTCCCAAGTTTCTGACCCACAGAAACTGTGTGTTACTGCTTTAAGCTACTAAATTTAGGGGTAATTTGTTATACCGTATTGTGACATATAAATAATAGAGCCCCTCTCAGAGCTATGGGTTCATGCTGCAGGAACAGTCTGGAAGGTGATATGTGTAAGTATCCAGAACCAGTCACTTTCTAGACGGGTGGCCAGAGCGAGCTGAATTTGAGAGGACAGGAGAGGATCAACATCAGCAAGAAACCCCCAGTGTGGGAGAGAAGAACTGAGAAATAAGAGACCAAGCAAAGCAGAAATCCTGGCACCTTCTTCCCTAGAAATTTCTCACACACTTCATCTAACTCAGTAAATGGAACCACATGTACCGGTGACTCTGGCCAAAAACCTGGGAGTCATCCTTGAGCCCATTCTCTCTCGCACCCAACATCCCATCCACCAGCCAGGCTCTGGGCACAACCCAGAATGCATCCCAGGCTTGGTCCCTTCCCACTGTCTTTCCTGTGAGTGCCTTGGACTCAGCCACCAGCCTCTCTCATCTGGGCAATATCAGCTGCCTCTTGGCCCATCTCCCTGCTCCTACCCTTTGGACTGCTCAAGGCCAGAGTGGCCTTCTCAAAGAGGAAGCCAGATCATGTCTCTCATGCTCAAAGCTCTCCAGCATTCGCTAGTCTCCAGCCACATGGCCTTCTTTCAAGCATGACACACTCATCTCACCTCAGGGCCTTCGCACTGGCTGTTTCAATCTCAAATCATCATGTAACATCACTGAGGTCTCACTTCACACAACACTTCCTTGGAGGAGTTTTCCTGGGCCACTCAGCTTAATCACTCTCTAACCTACCACCCTAGCTCATTTCCTTCATAACTTGTTTGCCTATTTACTGTCTATCCTATTAGAATGTCAGCCCCATGAGGGTAAAGGCCTTCTCTGTCTTGTTCACCAATAATAGTGTCTGGAACTTGGAAAGAGCTCAAAAAAAAATTTGTTTAATGCATTTCGATGAGACAGGGGGATGGATGAAAGGACCTTCAAGTCCAGAGCTCCGCTGTGTGTTCTAGGGCTCACATCACCCTTTCCCTGCAGGAGGAAAAGGCAGGGCGGGAGTAAGAGCTGTGGTTTCAGGGGAGAGACTTGCCAGCTGGGTGGAGCTCATACTACCAGTGGGTCTCACTTCCTACAGAGGAAAATCCTACAAAAAGCCCCATCTGTCTGACCACTGCCCTGCAAGTCTGGAAGGTGCTCTGGGTTGGCCTTCTTGGCTGAGTACAACAGGGTTGCTGCAGCCTGGTGCATTCAAACCCCCAGCATATGTGCGAATTGCCAGACAGGCTACATCCCCAAGAAGTCAACTTGGGCATCCCTCTGCCTCCACACAGGAGGCTGCTGTACAACAAAGAGCCACCTTCTGTCACACCTCTCAGCCTCTCCAGACTCCCCACTCACCCTACTCAGATCCTTCTCTAACTGTATCCACTGCTGCAAGAGATGGAAGGGCAGGTAAGGATCAAGGAATGTCTGTCCATAGGCAAGAAAGAGCATTTAGAAGGAAGCACAAAGGCCCAAGGACAGAGATGGGTGAGGAATTATACTGTGAGACCTTAGGAGAGTCATTCAAACTTTGGGTGCCTCGGTTCCCTTATCTGAAAAACAACGGGCTCTTTCGGCCTGTTTTATGCTCTGATAGAATTAAAAGAATAAAATCAGATAATGCATTGAAGTGCTTTCTAAGGCCTACAGCACTGTACAAATGTCCATTGTTATTGAGAGAAGCAGGTGCAGGAAGGGGGGTGGGGTAGACTGGGGAGGAGAAAGAGCACTGGAAGGTTCTGAGGTTAAGGGTGGAAAACTCTGCTCTGGATGAAGAGAACCAGGAGGAAGATGGAGGGAGAAGCAGAAACTTACTCCCCACCTGGAGAAGAAAAGGCTGAGAGAGTCAGAAAAGCAGACAACAACAGAAGGGAAAGGAACTGTCCAGATGTGGCCACCATGAGCTGGGCCCTTTGCCCTTCTGTTGGGAGAACAGACTTTCCAGATGGAGAGACACTCCCAGCAAAGCTGTGTACTTTACTTGAGCAAGGTCACACATGAGAAAGTGGATTCCTCTCAGACCTGTCTGCTCCATCAGCACCCTTCTCCAGGGTAACACTTGACCCTCAGAGCTACTGATTGATAACAGTCAATTATCTGCTGTGTCTCTGAGCACCTATCGTGTGTCACACACATTAACCCATCTCATCCTCATAATAATCTTGTCTTATTCCCATATCCTGGAGAATGAAACAGAGGCTCAGAGACGTTACATGACTTACCCAAGGTCATCCAGCCAATAAGATGCAGAGCATGAGATGTACCAGACACTGGGGCTCAACTGCTCAAAGTTCCTTTTTGAAGTATTCTCCCCCCCAACCCCCATTCCACTTACTGAACTGAACAGCAAAGGTAGGGGTGAGAGGGCAAGGAGGATATTAGCAACAATGGGGGACAGTGCAGAGACTGGCTGCATAGGAAAGGTTAAGGCAGGGCATTTCCACCTCCAGGGAGCTGAGCGCATCTGACAGAACAATTTCCTTCCCAAATGATTCATCACAATCCATCTTGGTGTCATCCCTCCCTCCCCCTGCCAACCCTTTACTCCAAGAGGCTGCCACCAGCTGGTCCATAACTCCTCTGTCCAGGCCTGAGAGGATGCATTAGGGGACCAGCCAACCTGGCCAACCAGGACCCAGCAATCCCTCTGGAGGCTTCTTGCCTCCGTTTTCCTCTTCCACTAAGACGAGCCAGGAAGAACTGACCAAGAAACTGAGGACCAAACTGGGACCCCCGCCAATAAAGAGAGTGGGATGGTTGCTTAGGAGGGTTCAGGCCCTGAGCGACCCTGACCTCTGACCTTTTTCAACCTCACCCCCCCCCTCCTACCCATCCCCTTCGCCCGCCCTCGAGGTCCTACGGCTGTGGCCCCATCCCGCGTTTTCCTTTGCTGGCCAAATCTGGCCGACTAGGACTCTGCGCGGTCCACAGGGTAAATGAAATGCACCCCTCTCCCCCTCCATATCCCCACCCGCCTAGAGAACTAGGGGAAATACCTTCAAAGGCCCTTCTCCCGGATCTCGGTCCCCACCAGCCACCTCCAGTAGCCGCAGAGACAGCGCGCCGCGCCCCCCATGCCCCTTGCTGCGCCCCTCCTCCCACTGCCCACCGGCCCTCGCCTTCACCTTGACCTGAGCCCGCTCCTGGGCCCAGAAGCTTTGCATAAACAAAGAGAGAAGGAGGGGACGATCAGGGCACCGCCTCCGGCCCGCCGTCGCCCCCGCTCCAGTCCCGGGACCCCAAGATAGTCTCGTCCCCAACCCCGCCGCGGGGCCAGCCGGCCCACAGCCCCTTACCTTGGCCTGGCATTTCCGATGACAGGAGAAGCTGCAGACTGCAAGAGGGCGAGACACAGAAAGAAAGTTTAGCCGCGAGGTATGAAATGGAAACTCCGGCGAAATCTCCTCCCACCCCCGCCCGCAACCCGCGCTCGGGAGGGAAGGAGGGACGGAGCGAAGGAGGGAAGGAGAGAGGAGGGGGCGGGGGGCTGCGGCAGCTCCTCGAAGCCTGCGGGGCGGGAACGCTGGAGACTGTGGACCCGCGGGGCCCCGGGAGGCGCCGAGCCCCCTTTGCCCGAGCCCCTCCGGCGGGCGCGGGAAGGTGGGAGGAGCAGCGGGAGAGCCGCGGACCCACTCGGCCTCTGGATCCTTAACAGGGGCAGAGGTGGCCAGGACCCAGGCCCTTTGCCAGCCGAGCAGGGAATAGCAAGGACTAAGGGGACCTTCCCTTACACACTAGACAGTCAGCCGGCACCCGGGAACCACGATCACTCTCACTCCCCCTCCCACCCTAGAGAGATACACAGACCCAATTCATGATCCAGGGGAGGCCCGGTGCACACACACATACATATACACACACACAGACACTCACCAAGAACCATTTACGTCCACACACTCGTCCATACGTGCACACAGCACATACAGCCAGCCTCACAGACGCACGCACAGGCCAAGAAGAAACCTCTGACTTGGGGTCACTAGCACACACACGTTCATGGGAGACCCTCGGAGTACAGCCTGACAGACTTGTGGACACAGACTCACAAACTTTGTGTTGAAACACACACACACACACAAACACACACACACATGACTTGCTCCGCCCTTCCACTAACAGAAGCTGGAATCAAATTTCCTATGGGGTTCCCTCAGCCTGGAATGTCCCAGTCCTGCCCACCCTACCCCCAGGGCCCTCCACCCAGGAGTTTGGTGGTCCCCTCCCACCAGGTCCTGCAGCTGGGGTGAGGGGGTCCCCTAATAAGAACTTCTGCACTGGCTTGACCTTATGGATTGCCCAGGGCTGGCTGAGGCAGGTGGGCCGGGGCACCTATGAAAGAACAGCCCTAACCCCAAATCCTCACAGCTCCGGGCCACGGTCAGCTGCCCTGCCTCTTGGATCTACAGTCACCCCAACTCCTTTCCAACCAGATTCCCAGTGGAACACAGAAGGGGAGACAGAGGCACAGATGGAGGCCCCAGGGCTCCCTGCGCTAAGCCTGCTGGTTTGTCTGTGGAGTAGGGTTCAGGAGACACCGGGAGGCACACTGGGAGGAGTCTGGGATGTGACCTTGGCCGGATCTTGTTCTCCCAGAACCTAGTTCTGGCCCCAGCTCAGGCCTGTGACTCAGCCAGTGCTGAGCAAGGCTTTCCTGACCCCACCAGCCACACAGCCCAGCTCAGGGACTTCTCCACCCCCGGCCACCCAAGTCAAGTCATGCCCATCTGTCTAGCCTTTCTGCTTCTCTCTCGCTGACCCACCCCCAGGTGGCAACTCGGCTCCTAAGGGTGGGTCCACTTTGACACCAGCAGCCTTCCCAGCCCCACCCACTATGTCTTCTTTTCTGGCCATGGAATGTGGAATTGAGAAAGCCTCAGGCCATGTGGCCTGAGCTTGGAAGGCCCTCCCAGCCAGGCAGGCGCCCCACTGGGCCACTGCCCTCAGACTAGGGGAACCTTTCCTCTCCCTCTGCTAATCAAATGCTGGGTCTTCAGGAATAAGTCCTGGGCCCCTCCTCTCAAGGCCTCTCTCACTGTTCCCTACCTCCTTGAAGGCGTCACCACAGAATGCACGTTTCCTGCCACCAACTTGGTTCCTACAGCTATGGGCTCCTTCAAGGAAGGGACCTCCTGGCTTGGTCTCTATCTCCCTCTGTATCAAACACACACACACAGAGGACTTAGTACACAGCAGAGGCTTGGTAAATGTTTGCTGAGTTGACCTGACTGAAGATCATCCCTGAATTTTATTTTCACCCCCATTTAATCATCCTCACCCCACTCTCGGCCTTTTCCTGAATCACAACCCTCCCCTCAATGTCTCATATTCAATCAAAATCCATCCCTAAGTGTCCACTCCAGGCCTCCCAACCCTAGTTCTAGACACTAGGAGCACAGTGAGAGCCAGGACTCCCATCTCCCTCCAGCATCATAGTTCATACTCCTGATGTTCACAGAATGTACCAAGCTCTTTCCTACCTTGGGGCCTTTGCACTTGCTTTTTGGGCTGCCTGGAACACTCTCTCTCACCCCAGCTCTCCATTGTTCACCCAACCATATCCTTCTACTTCTAGAATCCACTGAAAGCCATCTCTTTCCCTGACCATCCAAATTACAGTAGGTTCTCCCATCATTTTTTCTCAGCAGCATCCTAATAAAATTCTGTTAGCGCAGCTCACAATCTCAAGTCATCTTGGGTAATGCCTGCTCCCTTATATATAGTACGTCTCCCTACGCTAGATTCATGAGGGCAGAGAGTATGCCTGCCTCATTCACACTGTATCCCCAGCAGCTAGAACAGTGTCTGCTCCAGGCCCACAGCACCAAATAGCACCTATGTGAAAATTAGAAAAAGTCCTACCCTCTGAGCAGACCAACCTGGTGGACACACAACTGAGTACAGTGTCTTTGTGAGAATGGCAGAAGATGCCCTTTCTCCAGGTGGACCCAGCCCTGAATCTGAATGCATGGCTTGGTAAGCAAGGCGTGGGCTGATTCCAGTGCTCTTGCAGGCGGCCGGGCGCCCTTGGCAGTGAGTGGCCTGCATGACTGTTCAGGGCAGCCCTGTCTGTCACACAGTGGGCAGACACTCAATAAACGCCCTTGAGTGGAGGGCAGATGGGGAAATCATCGGGCAAGTTCAGTACAATGTGCTGAGTGCTCCTACGTGCTGGAATGCAGAGCCTGTCCTTGAAAGCTCTACAGCGGGGAGCAAGGAAAACTGCCCCCAGCCCCCAGCCCAGAAGACAGCTCAGCAAACTGAATTCAAGTGGCAGGTTCTAAGCAGCGCAGGCATGGCCAAGCCCCCATGGATTTTTACACCTTTAAAATCACCTGCTCCCAACTGCAAGGAAACCCTCTTGCCCCGAGTCCCCTCCAGGGAAGGCTCCTTTGCAATCTTAGTCACCTGTCTCAGGTATTCTCCCGTAGGGCGGTATTTCCTACTCTCTAACTTGCATCCCTCTTGCTGCAATTTAAAACATGCCATTTGGTTGGCTTCTCACTTCCAGTTTAATGGCACATTCAGCTGTGTTACAGAAAGGAAAATTGCGGCATCCAGCCTCCAAGGTGGCCCCCAGTGTGACTGGCCTCCTGGTGTGCACACCCTCCTGCAGCTCCCTCCCACAGTGCACAGGGCTGTTTGATCGGCTATTGCAGAATTGACGGTGGATGGCTTCTCATCCAAGTTACTGGTGGCTTCAGCCTTCATCTCCTGAATCACTCACTCTGGGAGAAGTCAGTTACCATGTTGCGAGGGCATTCAAACAGCCTTGTAGAGAGGGCCATGTGGTGAACAGCTGAGCTCTCCTGCCACCAGCCAGCACCAAGTTGGCTGGCACACAACTGAGGCACCTTGGAAGTGGAATCTCCTGCCTCTGTCAGGCCCTCAGATGACCACAGCCCTGGCTGATATCTTGACTGCAACTTCAGGAAACACCCAGAGTACGTGGGCAAACCACCCAGCTACCTGGGCAAACCTCCACTCATGAATGCCCAACCCACAGAACCTAGATGAGAGAATAATGTTGTGTTTATTTTAAACTGCTAAGGCTTGGAGTAATTTGTTACACAGTTACAGCTAACAAATACAGAAACCAGAACCAGAAACATAGGATCCCTCAGAAAGCAAGAAGCCAAAGGCTGATGCTGAGAATCGAGACCAGAGGCCGTCCCCTGGGTCCGTCCCTGCTCCCTGCATGTTCCTCCCTGTAATTCCTTCTTCCCTTTCCTTACCCTACTAAGTAATTAGTCGTCCAAAGAGGCTGTTGAATCTCAGCCTTCCTCCCTGACCACTGCACCAGTTCAGGCCAATTACCCTTCCCTGGGCCCCGTCTCCCCACCAGCCTTGTCCCCCTTCAATCCGCAGAGTCACAGGCCATTCTCAGGTACAAACTGATCACATCACACCCCTGCTTAGAACTCTTTGTCCAGCTCCTCAGCACACTTATAAGACCTTGCATGACCTGGTCTTGCCTCCACCTCCAGCCACTGCCCCTAACAAGATCTGTTCCTGCAGCATCAAACTCTTCAAACAGACTCTGAGTCTACAAGGTGCAGGTCTGGAATGGTGAACTCTTATACATCCTTCAAAGCCCAGCTCAAAATGTCCTTCCCTGGATAATAAAGCATTCAAAAATGGCCCCTCTCTTCTCTGTGCAACTAGAATCCTCAGCCCACCACCCTTGGAAAGCTCTTGCCAGCTTGAAGAACTAAATATTCCTTTGATTTGTTCTCCTCCACATTCAACTGCTTCTTAAAGACAGAAAGGGAGGTCCTGAGGTCCTGTTCAACTCTGCAGCTTTTTATACTGTCCCTTCCCCTAGCACTGGGCCAGGCATATAGATGGGGCTCAATAAATGTGGAGTAAATTTCAAACTGGAAAAATTCTCCCCACCCTAAACCCCCTGGATCGGGGCTGACATTCTGGGACAATAGAAAAGACACAAGTAAGGGTGGGTGAGCCCCGCTGTTCAGCTCCACTCTCTGCTGGGAGAGGGCAAGTAGGGACCATAGTCACTCTTGCCAAGTGCTTCAGGACAAACACCATGTATGATCAAGACTGGTGAGGGTTGGGAGCACTAAAGGAGTTCACTGATCCTTCATCCACTCACGCACTGGTCCTGCTCTCCATCTACCTGCTTACTTACCTGGCTACATGTAGACTGGCTCTCAGCTCAGATGCAGGTCATGCACCAGCTCTGTGATCTGGGGCATGTTACTTAACTACTCTGAGCCTTCATCTCCTCGTGTACAAAATAGGGATAATAATAGCACCTACCTCACAGGGTTGTTGCGAGAATTAAACAAATTAATATATGTGGCCAGCCCAGAGCGC